ACTTTGAGTAAAAAATAATTAATTGATCCACTGGGCTTATTGTCCTATAATAAGCCCACAACCCTGGCATTAAGTAAAAAGTAAGGAGTTGGCCCACGGGGTTTATGTGTCTGTAATAAGCCCACCTCTTACTTTGAGTAAGAAGTAATGTATTGATTCACTGGGCTTATTGTCCTGTAATAAGTCCATCCCTTACTTTGAGTAAAAAATAATTAATTGATCCACTGGGCTTATTGTCCTATAATAAGCCCACAACCCTGGCATTAAGTAAAAAGTAAGGAGTTGGCCCACTAGGTTTATGTTTCTGTAATAAGCCCACCCCTTACTTTGATTAAAGATTAACTTGTTGGCTCATTGGGCTTATTGTACTGTAATAAACCCACAACCCTGGCATTAAGTAAAAAGTAAGGAGTTGGCCCACGGGGTTTATGTGTCTGTAATAAGCCCACCTCTTACTTTGATTAAAGATTAACTTGTTGGCTCATTGGGCTTATTGTCCTGTAATAAGTCCATCCCTTACTTTGATTAAAGATTAACTTGTTGGCTCATTGGGCTTATTGTCCTGTAATAAGCCCACACACTAATTTTTAATTAATAGTAATGTATTGGGGTTTTTGGCTAACTTAATGCAGCAAGATACAAAACCATAATTGCAAAAGTTGACAACCACCATGGATATTTTAGATGTAAATATCCAAGTTTAAAGTTGGTAAGTCATCTTAGATAATTTATTCAGATAAAGAAAATGTCACGCTGAAGTGGAAGCAATATCTAATAAGTATATGGATATTACTGTGGTGATAGAATATAAGTATCAAATAAAAGTACCTGTAAACATGGTGAAATATTAGAGTATAGTTGTATAAAGACATAACATCTACTCAGTGTTACTTTACAGAATCCATCTAAATGTTTATGAACAATAACAATAAGTACTAAATCAGAAATATGTAAATTTTTCTAAAGTCTGTATTTCGTTGAACGGTTCAGAGCTTCGCCCCCACAAATCTTCGCCTATACAAAGTATATATTTATATAATCCTTGTACACACACAAACTTTCTCCTGCCCTAGCTTACATAGAAGTTTTCTACACAGCCCTGAATACACAGATCAGTGGCTGTTGGCTGCTTGTGTATCAGATCGGGCAAGACAGAATTAGTTTTACCTGGATCTGACATCTGTGATGCACGATAGTATTCTCACCTGAGGATTCTATTTGTAGCAAGACTGACCTTTCTCCTGCAAATTTGTTTGCATTTGTATCAGATTCTTGTAAGGACTTAGGAATCAGGAATTTTAAATTCTTGTTGTGAAGATTGCAAAGAATGTGAAATTCTAACGTTTACGAGTAATTCACTGTTATGTAAAACAGTGACATTTGTTAAATATTTGTGGGATTATCTACAGATCCATGATGGTGAGTTTGTTTATGAGACCAGCTGTTAACATTGGTGTCTATGCTGGGATTATGTTTAGTTGTAACTACATGATATGTTGTAATTTCACATGTGTCGGCCAGAACATGAAATCTCCACACATACCAAAATTCTTCCTTCAGCACATCAGCTATGTTTTTGATGTTTTTTGTGTTGCCCATCAGTGCTCTTATTTTAGACAGGAGTTGTTATAAACAAGACGATACTTTGGGTTTTTTGTATCTACAGGGTTGTACTCGGTTCCGGATATTTTCTGAAAACTTTTATATTTTTTTTTTTATGTAGGACATATCTTGACCTTTGTGAACTAAAAGCTGTATAGAGTTTAGTTTAGAAAAATAGTGAAGAAGGAAAAAGTTAGAAATGATAAAGGTTTACCAGGCTATTTATAGTGAAATGGAAGATTATATTTAAAAAAAAGGATCACAATTTAAATTTGCTATAAATCATTACATCTACAAATAAACTTTGGGAAACTGTTCATCATCTTGTTTTCGGTTTTTACCTGTTTAACACCTGAACTAATATGTCTTGTGACGTTGTATAATGATTATAAAATCGTGTCAAAACAACTATCTATAATGAAGAAGTATGAAGGGGGTCCATATGTAGTCTGTATCCCATTTACAGATACTTAAGTTCAGTAGAATTATCAACTAATATTATTTCATTGTCCTATATTATACCCACCCCTCTACTTTTCAATCTGACTGGATGTCTCTGGGCAAATGTGCAAGAACTTAAAAATAGAATGTCATTTCTGTTGGACCTGACTTTTGAAGATGCATGTCTGTTTGGTGTCCATGTCTGTTCGGTGTCCATGTCTGTTCGGTGTCCATGTCTCTTTGGTGTTCGTTCTAGACAGGCTGTCACTTTATGCAGGTAGACATTTCTGAGTTTCTAATGCCACAATGAAGTCACTTCGGCCACCTGACAATGCCACACAAGTGGCCACTGTTGCCGTTATCAACAACCATGAAGTTTTCTATGTTATGTAATATTTGTAACTTTATTACTATTAAGCACTTCTTCAAGTGGTCTTCATTTAAAATATATAAACATTCAACCTGCCACACCCACATTTCTGTAGTGAACTCTTCTGCCTTCTAATGTTGAACAGGAGTTCTCCTATTTGAAGGGAGGGGAGAATCATCATTTCCTTGTTGAAGTAGAACTACACAAGCATTTCAAGTGAGTTATCTGGAATGTGATGCAGATTTTTTGGAGGGGCAGGGCGTCTACGAAATACTTTTTTATACCCAATTCCTACGCTTTTGTAGCCAACAGAACACGAAACCTAAAAAAAATAAGTGAAAATCACTCTCTGTAAACTGCATTCCTGGATAATGGCAGGAAGCACTAGCTGTAATCTGTGTTGCATAATAATGAGTACACCACCATAAATTTCATATAGTGCTGACGTTGTGAAGTGTACGCCTTTTGTAAACCGTTTGAAAATAATTGACTGTATCAAAAACTATATTACCAACCTGCTCATCTATGTCATATAGCCATGTTATAATTTCATGAGCCAGTACATTGCTCTTTTCTGGGGGAAAAAATGAGTGTCATGGATTTCATTAAAGCATGAAGATAGGGATAATAACACAAAATTTTTTACTATTGAAGTTACTGTGATTTTATAAAGATTACTGATGTGTCGTTTTGTTTGATAAAAATGTAGGACATTTAGCTTCCTACGAAAATGAGGCCAGAGCTGGCTTATATCACCAATTATCCATGAAAATATGCTATAATTTTTGTGTTGTTTTGTATTTTTAAACATTTTAATTTGATACATTTATTCAGTGTAAGCAGGTAATTACTTCACTTTACATGTGAAGTCTACATGATAAGTAATATGTCTACATGACGACAATTATCCTATATAAACAATGAAGGTAGACTGAACATTACGCAAGTGTTGTAAAAACAGGCCTTTTAGTATGCAGAATATACCGTCAACAGTAACGTGGTTTGACCTTCTCTCTGCTATGTTTTGCAGTGTAAATCTTTGTTATACAGACAGTTTTGACAAATCAAGGAAACCATCTCGACACGATTCTGAAGGGAAAATAAATATTAAAGGAAATAAAGCTAAAAGTGTTTATAGGGCTCTTCTTTATTGAAATATGAGAACAAGGTCTCTTTTCATATGCAAATGATCACTGCATTTAATATGTAACTTAACTTCTTTGTCTGGTAGCAGTCTACCAGACTATTATTGCTATACATTTAATAAATGGACGCCCATTAAAAAAAAAACGAGAAAAAAGAAATTTTGATGACAATTTTCTTCCTCTAGCTACTCCGTAAATGTCAATGCTGCATGTATCAAATCACTTTCTGTCAAGGGTGAGTTGTGATATGATCAACAACATTTCACATTTCAGCATTTACTTCAATATCGCAATTTAAACTTCTCTATGGTGAAATTTATATAAAACGATGCATAAACCAATGAGGTCTGTTTCCATACAATACTTAATGTACATAGTGTATCTACTTCTAAATAAACATACTATAACCAAAACACATCAGTGAAAAAATCTCAAATGTTTTATTTCATCAATTTTAAAGTTAAGAATTGCAACAGACTTTGGAAAAGAATACAACATTTAAATAAGTGTTTGACACTGTTGAGACTTTCCTAGGACGTGGTGTATCTACTTTATAACCATAAAAGTGTGTTGCCAGGGTAACAATGATGCAGGCAGTACGTGACCTCTAGCGATATTTATAGACAATGACATTTTACGTAATTACATCTTGTTAACGTCTAACATTATTACCAGTAACATAGATGAGTAAGATATTTGTATTTTTTTTTCCTCTTACAAAATGAATCCTCAAGAATTTCATATGAACGTTTTGCCAGTAGATATTTCCTTGAAAGTTGGAAGAATCATGTTGTGGAATTTCATACCTCCTTTCCTTAATTTACCTTTCATTTTCAGGGCCTGTTTTAGGGCCTTCTGGTGCTGATGATTTGAGTCCCATTCCCAACTGAAATGATTTCCTAACTAGACCAAATTTCCAAAATTTGCAGTCTACTACAGCAAATTTCTGTCCCAATTCACCAATTTCTTCCCAAAATGAAGCTAAATGTCTCCACCCCATATCGGTGAAAAAAAATACCCGAGTTTGAAGCACTGTATCTTACTGTTATGTGGAATGAAGGTGATGTTTGCCAGGCATGTGTCATTATTCCTACTGGAGTACATATATTTTTTATACACCAAACCAACCTCTCTTAAGAAACACTGAAATATCAATAAGTCAGCAGAGATAAAATGTTAGGAATGTTGCACACTTTTGTGTACTTGTGAAATTGCCACAAAAAATGTTTGATGTGGAAAGATTTGATCTACCCTTCAACCATTGTATTCAGTACATTCAATACTACAATTACCTCCCCTTACAACCTTAGCAAAATTACAAAATTAGAAAGATGTTACCGTCACCTTTGCTTCATGATTGAGTAGGAATTTAGAAATAAATTTTATCGTATATTTTTTTACTTTTGAGGTTTTCTATTTATTTGTTTCTTTGTGTTTTTCAGGTGATGACATCGTGTGTTCCTCAAGTCAACCATGAGGTGGTAAGTCAAGAACTTTAATCAATAACTCACAACATTGTAAAATCAATATTGCTTATAGCATAGCACAAACAGAATTTACTATATGTCATTTACTAGTGTTTAAATGTCTAGAACCTTATGGAGGCTGATGATTATGTTTTGGCCTTTGATATTTAAATCCAGAGAGGGTGCTAGTTATTCACAGGTTACTTCCCAATTTTCGGGTACTCTGTGGTACAGCTAGGTAGACTTACACTTTATGATGAACCACTAGGCATCCTGTTAAAACCTAGCAGATGAGTCATATAGCATACTCACTTGGTAGGACACTGGTTCTTGGAGAACGTTTCTTGCTGGAGAATTTTCTCATCAGGATTTATAGTAACATTCTTTGTTTGTAAAATTTAAGGTTCACAACAAATATGAGGCTACTGACCAGAAAATAAATATTTTTAGATGTCTTTCTGATTTATGTAATCTTCTGTTAGAAATCTGACACAATTTAGCTGTAAAGATGAAAATGAGACCTTCTGGATATATAGCGATATTTTACCTAAGGCTACTTATTTGTATGCATACTAATCAGGATGCTGATTAGCTTGTAGATTTCTTGTCAAGAATAAACACTGACTTTCAGCAACCATAACTTATACTAAAATTGATTGTCATAAACACTCCCAAACTTTCTAAACAGTCCAAGATGGTGGCAAGTTGACCTCAAATACAGGTCAAGTTTGACCTGGAATGTACCAGTTGACACCACACAGGGGCCCTGAGGAGTGAAGGGCCTTGAGGTGACTGATGGTATGATAACTGTATTAGAGAGTGGTGATCGTCCACTCATCATCTACTTAATGTGATAAGCCAGGGGCATTGTTCAGTTAATAAGTCATCATCAAAGTGATTTTATAAACTTAAACAGTTAATAATAGTTGAAAAAAAAAGATTATCTCATAAATGATAAAATTTCATTTAAATATTCAATAAATTACATGTTTTATAAACAATCTTTGGTATTTTCATTACAAAAGATAAAAAGTGAAAAAAGGAATGTAGGAAACCCTTATCTGATTATAATTTCACTAATGTCTATAGCTGAAAAATTACAACCTAATGATGTGTCATTGTCCTCTAACCCACCCCTGACTTTGAGTCAGAGATTATGTTATTGACCCCTGAGATCCTGTAATAAGCCCACCCCTGACTTTGAGTCAGAGATTATGTTATTGACACCTGAGGTCCTATAATAAGCCCACCCCTGACTTTGAGTCAGAGATTATGTTATTGACCCATGAGATCCTGTAATAAGCCCACCCCTGACTTTTAGTCGGATATTATGTTATTGACCCATGATATCCTGTAATGAGACCTCCCTTTGACTTTGATTTAGAGATTATTGACTGGCCCCCTTAGGTTCTGTAATAAGCCCACTCCTGACTTTGAATCAGAGATAATGCACCAGCCCCTTGGGTTTGTTATAGGTTAAATATGGTGAATAAGATACTTAGATGAAATTCAAATAGTCGTTAAATTTTCTGAATAACATAACAAATATTCTGCATACAATCACGCAGTCAGATATAAAAGCTATAATAGGGTGTTGCGTAGGAAGAAAAATGCGGGATCGTTGCTTTTTGCCGCCAGTGGTCATTGAGAGGCTGGTTTAAACGACTACATCTCCAGCAGATCTAATAGGTGTCCCGAGGGTCAGATACTGGTAGCTGATTGTCAGTACTTACCTGGTAAAGCATTTTACCTGTGATATTGTCAGACATCTCGCATATGATTAAGGTCAATGTGACCTACATATGGCAACAACAACCGTTATGATTTTACTGTATACTTTGTTTTGTCACCAGAGTTATCTCTCAGTGTTTTGAAAATATTATCTTTTTACACCAATAGGAAAAGATATAGGTGAATTTTTTTATTAACTGTGAAATATCTGAAAAATATATTTAAACCTAGAACAGATCATTTTTGTTATTTAGTGAATTTAAATATTCAAATTCATAGCAATGTCTGTTGAATTCAGGTGCCATTTTGTCTAAATTACTGACATTAAAAAAATGTATACATTCCGATATGAATCACAGGTATACAGGTCACACAGGCTCTGTAACAGATTGATAGTAAAATAGCTTTGTCAATGGACTGGAATATTTACCTGACTTTTTCTTATAATTAGTGTGAAAGGGGGTCACGATAGCTCAGTCAACAAACCATTGGCTTATGCAACCTCAGGTGAAAATCCAAGGTGTGTATGGCAACACTTTTTACTGTTAGCAGTTTGGGTTTCTTAGGAAACTGAGAATCAGGATAGTCAGATATAGTTGTGTTCTTTGGGAAAACACTTTACCCTAATTGCACTGAACAGCATGCAGCAGACCTCCTGCATGTGGTTCATTGAGGAAGCTACCAACCATTACAAAAGGACCTCAATCAGTATGGCCCTGGCTACTAACAGGGTGAAAACACAAAGTATGAGAGGGAGCAAGACATTATCCAGATATTTGTCTGCGTGTATGAAGACCTATTTTTGTTTTCACCTCCATTACAAATGATAGGGGATCCTATTTCATAAGATATATGTGGAAAATCTATTTCAGTAACCTCTGAGTTACCCTCTGTTTGTCTGGGAAAGATTCTACGTTTTAAAGCTGATTAATATCTCATGATGTGCTTTAGCTGGAAAATACAACTATATAACTTTATACTTGGTTTCATTTTTCAAAGTGATTTTATTTCCAAATGTAGAAAGTCTACAATCAAGATTAAGTTTTAGATAGAAGAAAAAAAAAACACAAACAGTATGAAAAATATCCAAAAGTGAACTGGAGAATTAAGTTGAATTTTGAGTCACAAAAAATTGCTCTTTTGTCCAAGATAGTAAGAATTGTTTTCAAATTCCTGCTGTTGTTCATAACTATAGTTTTGTTATGGGAATGATGTTATGGGAATCGTGGATCATTGTTGTTGAAATGATGTTATGGGAATCATGGATCATTGTTATGGGAATGATGTTATGGGAATCGTGGATCATTGTTGTTAAAATGATGTTATGGGAATCATGGATCATTGTTATGGGAATGATGTTATGGGAATCGTGGATCATTGTTGTTGAAATGATGTTATGGGAATCATGGATCATTGTTATGGGAATGATGTTATGGGAATCATGGATCATTGTTATGGGAATCATGGATCATTGTTATGGGAATCATGTTATGGGAATCATGGATCATTGTTATGGGAATGATGTTATAGGAATCATGGATCATTGTTATGGGAATTATGGATCATTGTTATGGGAATCATGTTATGGGAATCATGGATCATTGCTATGGGAATGATATTATGGGAATCATGGATCATTGTTATGGGAATGATGTTATGGGAATCATGTTATGGGAATTATGGATCATTGTTATGGGAATCATGTTATGGGAATCATGGATCATTGTTATGGGAATCATGTTATGGGAATCATGTTATGGGAATTATGGATCATTGTTATGGGAATCATGTTATGGGAATCATGGATCATTGTTATGGGAATCATGTTATGGGAATCATGGATCATTGTTATGGGAATCATGTTATGGGAATCATGGATCATTGTTATGAGAATTATGGATCATTGCTATGGGAATCATGTTATGGGAATCATGGATCATTGTTGTATTCATAGAGTGTTTCATCATTCGTGATTTTTCATTGAACGGACTTTTGAAGCTGAAATGAGGTATCTGAATAAGGCAAGCTTAACTGAGTTTAATCAGAAATCTGAACTTTTGAATCAATTTCAGCTAGAATATAAAATTAAGTTCTGGCAGAAGTAAGAAACATGAAACTCGAACTAAAAAACAAAGCCACAGTCAAGTCAAATGCCAAGTTAAAACAGAAAAGCGTTTGTTATAGCCTTCATGTTTGTAATGATTATAGAAAAGAATTTTACATCAAAACTAATATAAAAACAATATAGATTTAGAAATACTCCACCCTCTTGTACTCCAGATGATTTAAAACTTTAAAAGGTCAACAGGTGACCTTTGGTTCACGAGATTTCATCATCGATTTTAGCCTTTAACAGCTTAGAAGTGACTTAGGTATAATTGTAAAATATTGCTTTAAAGCTAATGTATTCTGTCAAAATTGTGACTAGTCTGTTTACATCACAATCATAGTATTGATCAGCATAGTAGTCGGTATCTCATCTGTGATACAACAGCTGGTCGTCATACACCTTCCTTGTTAGCTTTTTATCTTTTATGTCATTGTTTTAGATATTTGGTCATTAACTATTAACATTTCTATCATTGTAAAGAGATTGTACAAAAACATCTAAATACTCATTACATTTATAGAAACAAATTATTAGATTAAAAAAAGAAAAATTTAACCTTTATTAGAAATTCTAAATAAAATTGTTGTATGTTGACAATGCTTGTTTCAAACTTGGGTTTCCGTATTAATGATAAAACATTTTGATTGAAAATGATGGAGTTGCAGTTTTCCGCAGGAACAAACAAATCTTTTACATTCAAATACGATACAAAAGAAATATAGGGTAATGTATTTTACAGGGAAACGAGATACTGTTCTGAGATTTGTCCTTTGATTTGTCAGCAAATAATCTACATGTTATTTCATATCTGAATGTATAAAGTATTCCTGTATTGTATCAGACCTTCATGTTATGTAGATTATGGAGAACAGTTTAGGGAATTAAATATGAAGAAAAGGCATTTATATCATAAAACTTTAGTAGACTCATTAAAACATTGAAGAGGTCTTCAAATTTTTCAAGAAAAATTCACCTCCTTTTATCTTTTCATTCACTTTATGCTACAGACAAACTTGGTCTGTATTTATACCAACTACAGGGCAAATTTTGTATTGTATTTCCGGTGACTTCTTACAGAAAAGAAGGTCATATCCTTGATATCATGATGGGATGGCCAAGAACAAGATTTTATATTTTTATAGCTATATAGGTTAAGTACCCTGAATACCACAGA